CTTTTTTTGTTGGTTTGCAGTATTTAACAGTAAAAAGATTTGATTTTGTATGATTTGATATTTGGTCTTATAAAGTTTTACTATATTTGCTCCAGAAATGGCTGCTTCTCTTGCTCTCCTCAGTAGACATCGCATAGAAGCTCACAATTATCAGCAACCAGAAGCTAGAGGTATTTTAGAACAATCTATCACACAATATTTTGTAATTTGGCTACATATAAAGTGCTACAAAAATAGAAAAATATAATTTGCATGTAAAATCAGCAAATGAATAAAATAACTTTTGGTTGTAAAAATTAGAACACATGGGAATTAAAATATACAATTTTTGTTATACTGTAGTGCATTAACCCTTAAGGCAGAAGATGCCATATATTTCCACCTGTTGGAATTATACAGAAACCTGGGTTTTAGGGTGCGTTCACACTTATGCACATGTATGCACGTGTGTTGGCACACATTTTTGGTACATCAACAAACATGGCATTGATCATGCCTATTCATTTTCGAAGGCTCTATAACCAAAAGCACCTGCCTTGTTTTTTCCCGCATACTACAATGCAATTTTTGTTATTGCATGCGTTGTAGTGGGGGCCAGATGTGGGTTTTTTTTTAAATGTATTTTGTTTTATTTGCATGTGCCTCCCTTGGAGTGCCATTGAAAATGAATGGTAACACATTGTAACGCACACACAGGACACAATATGCCACATGTAAACTGGCACTACAAGATGCATGGGCAAGTGTGAATGCAGCCTTAAAGATATATCCCAATAGCTCATACAACATTTACGTACTCATTTCATTTTCCTGTAAATTATATTTAGTAAATATTATGTTCTTTTCATTCTCATGTGCTGGTGATCTCTGCTTCCTTCAGTACTTTATTAGGTTTCCTTCACATCCCACTCGGACTGGCATTTGGTTTTCTCACTGCTTGGTAAACCAGAAGTCCCAGGAATGCCATGAAAGGGCAATAGCATCTAGGTCTGTTTGTCAAGTTGCAATAAAGCATCAAGGCAAACTCAATACTCCTAAATGTTTTGTGCATGTCACATGACCTGATTACTGATGCCAAAATGAACTTCTGAAGATCAGAAAAGAGGAGACCAACGTGCAGACAATGAAGTGCCTCCTGCATATGTCAAGTTGAAGAGGAACTGTTGAAGAGTAACAGGGTTATTCACAAAAGGGTGAAGAGTTTGGAGAAGGAAGGAGAAGTGAACAATCTAGGCCAAAATACCCGATTTGGAAAAATTCTCAAATTCAGCTCACTTTCCACTTCAGCTATGCTGTCCTAGATTGTTCACTTCTCCTGCCTTCTCCAAACTCTTCACCCTTTTGTGAATAACCCTGTAAGTGTTGGTGTAAAATCTCACTAGGGGTATCTTGTCAGACACTTAGAAAATTAAGAAAACCTGCACTGAGAGAAACATCGAGGACGTCATTGCTGACCTACTACTAAAAATGCTACATGACTGGTTGTCTTTAGCTTCAATTCAATCTAAGTTGCTTGGAAAAAGCATGCAGCTAGAGAAGTCAAAACAAAGGCATAAAGCATTATATGTATATTTATTCCAGGTTTCGCACAGACAATTCTTAGATCTCTATAAGATACCATATGGGGTACATTATGCAATACCGTATTTGCCGGCGTATAAGACGGGGTTTGAGACCCAAAAAAATCGCCCGAAAATCGGGGGTCGTCTTATACGCCGCGTATACTTCGGTATACTGTATGTAGCTTTGGCTACATACAGTATACCGAAGTATACGCGGCGTATAAGACGACCCCCCACTTTTTGTGTAAAAATATAGGTTTTGGGCTATACTCGTCTTATACGACGAGTATAGCCCAAAACTATGTTTAAATGCACTTACTAACCTCCTTGGCGGTATTCCCGAGTGTGGCTCGGGGTTAACACTTATGGTACTGAAAATTACCCCCGAGCCACACTCGGGAATACCGCCAAGGAGGTTAGTAAGTGCATTTAAACATAGTTTTGGGCTATACTCGTCTTATACGACGAGTATAGCCCAAAACCTATATTTTTACACAAAAAGTGGGGGGTCGTCTTATACGCCCAGCCGGCTTATACGCCGGCAAATACGGTATTTAATGTGCATACTTTAAAACTGGGGCTGAATGCCCTTTAAATGCTTATGTGCTATGTTTAACATAAAGCTTATAGTCTTTTTTTTATTTTGTGGGCTACATAAGTAAATATTTATTGTTCCTTAAACTTTATTACTTTTCTTATAGGCAAGCTGAGTACATTTGATGGATGGACGGAGATTGGCTCAGCTCGTACTATCCACATCACATCATAAGGGAACAGTTGTTGTAAATCAAATATCATGAAATATCCTCCCTAATCTGTGCTTGGGTCATTGGAGTATAGGAGAGTAAAGGTGGCCATACACTTTACAACCATCGCAAGACCTTAGTGTTGCGATGGTTGTAAAGTAATTTAAAAAACGTACGATCTGCCAATCTTGGACAGGCAGATCGTACTTGCGATCATCGCAAGCCCGCCCCCCTGAGGGGCAGGTTTCCGATGACCGCAATGCTGAACGGGCAGTGTGCGCGTACCGGCCCGTGCGGCATTGATCTTACGATCATGCTAAAAACCAGCCGAAAATCGTACGATTCTCGGCTGGTTTTCTAGCATGCTCCTTAGACAAAAGACGTGCGACCATACAGTAGAAATGGTCGCACGTCTTCATTCACACTGCACGATTCTCGTACCTTCAGTGTTCAATTCCTCTGTCCCCAGCTGCACTCAATGCTGACCTTACAGAACTAAGCAGGTGCTCCTTTTATCATTCAATGACCCCTGCAGGGGCCAGCCTGCCAGTGTACATTAGCACTTGGAACTGGCTACAGAATTAAAGTATGCAAATCAGTGGGACCTTGTACACTGACAGGTGTAGCCCTTGTAGATTTTACAGAATGAAAATTATTTCAGGGGCACATAGGCTCACCATAACCAATGTACACATGTAATGATTTGAATTTACATCATAATCCATGTTCTGAATTTCGTGTAAGGTACCTCAGAGGAGCATACAGGGTTTTTTCATGCAAAGAGCAATGATTGATAGCTACCCCTAACAAAATGACAACTTTTTTCATTTTAGAGTAAAAAGGGAAAAGAAAACCTGAGAGAGAGCAGCACAAAGTCTTCATCTGTTCCTGTGCAAGAGTTGCTCTTTTTTCCTTTGAAACTTTCATTTCAAGGTATGGTTGATAATTACACTGTCACCATATTAAAATAAATTCTCTATTTAAAGCTATAATGTATAAAGCCTAAGAGAGGAAAAAAACTAAAACTAAACAATAACCAATTCAATAGCAAAAAAGTACTTACCCTTTCCCTGTGGTACCATTCTGTTTTTAAGGTGCCCAATAGATAGGAAAGGACCATGAGGGAGCTATCTGCAAACCTTATCTAATGCCTTGACTCTTTAATGATGTGATAACATGCATAATAACATGAGTCCATGGGTAGCAGCATCAAAACTGCTCAAGCATCAAGTGTGTAGTTGAACACTGATACTCAGCAAAAATATATTCTCTGCCAACGTACAGGAGTCATACTAATGGAGATTTTAAGTCTTTGTCAATGAAACTTCATTCACATTTTGACTTTGGCCAATGAGTGCTCCAAATCAGTGTAGGCTTGCCAATACACTATATGGCCAAATGTTTGTGTACATCTGATCATCACATATAATTTATTGTCAAAAGTATGGGGAAATTATCTCCGACTTATTGGGTTCAGGTGTTACCAGTGAAGGGAACCGTTAATGCTATAGCATACAAAGATGTTTTAAACTATTGTATACATCCAACCTTGCGGCATCAGTTTGCATAAGGCAATTTTCTGATCCAGAATGACTGTGCACAAAGCCAGGTCCATAAAGGGATGGCTTGATGAGTTTGGTGTGGTTGAACTCAAAAGGCCTGCTCAGAGCCCTATGCTCAAGCCCATTGAATACCTTCAGGATCCTTTTTAATGCTGACTTCAAGCCAGGTCTTCTGATTCAACATCAGTAACCTCATTCAGCCTCTCTTTTGGCTACAAAATTTGGGTACAAATTCACAGAGTCACACTCTTTGTGGAAAGCCTTCCCAGAAGAGTAAAGTCTACTGTATTATAGCCACAAAGGTAGATGTGTGTGTGGTAACTTCCTATTAATGCTCATGGATTTGGATTGTTATGGATTGGGATGTCCAACATTCTCATATTGATTTGATGGTCAGGTGTCCGCAAACCTTTGGACATATAAAGGGTTATTCACAAAAGGGTGAAGAGTTTGGAGAAGGCAGGAGAGGTGAACAATCTGGGACAACATAGCTGAACTGGAAATTGAGCTGAATATTTCCAAATCAGCTATTTTGGCTTAGATTGTTCACTTCTCTTGCCTTCTCCAAACTCTTCACCCATTTGTGAAAACCCTGATAGTGTAAGTCATCAAGCAGCAGGTTCCCTGAAGACTCACCCACATTTAAAGCACATAACAGACAACCAATGACTGCAACTGTGATAGGCAGTAAAATATGGTATGGTTTATATGTACCTCTTAGAGTCTAGTAGTAGCATAATGAATTCATTTCAGAACATCTTTAAACTTACAGTATTTAGGATTATATACATCAAAACTTAACGCAGATCTTACTGTTATAGTTGGATGATGGTTTATTTTGAATATACAAAACTATATGTGTAAACAATGATAAAAAATGAGGTAACAGGAGACTTGAATGTGATTTCCATTAGGGGCTGATGGCCTATTTTAGCAAACACTTGATCTATTTAACTCTTGAATTCAGTCAATTTTTATAAGTACCGCCCTATATATACAGGTAATACAGGTACAGCTTTTAGTTTAGCAAAACGTAAGAACAGGATGGTACTGCAACTCACTGTGCAGAACTGTTGCTATAGAGAGGTGTAATTAAACAGAATTAACAGTGTAGTGACCTGTTTACTCACCTTTCAGAGCCTCCCACATACTCTCTTCCCCCCTCTTGTTAGAACTCAACTTTATCTGTTGTCTATTTCACGCATTCAACCATGATTTTGGGGGGTTAAGGGGTTAAAAGTTTTCACGATTTGTCTGCAAAAGAAGACAAAGGGGTAGGTTGTTTTCATCCATCTTTTCAAGCGGAGAAAGCGTGGACGAGGCGGTATAACAGCGGAAGGGTGTGGGTGAGGAGCGGCACGGATTCTTCAAACAAACTTCAGTACACAACGCAACTATTTAATTACAGAATCATTTGTCACATTCCACTTGATATTCAACATATTTAATGAACAAGTAGTTTGTTAAGGTCCGTTCATTCTTAATCAGATTCCTTTTGTTTGCATACATATCACTATGCAGCATGACTAAATATAATCTAAACAGCAAAACATCTTTATGTTGCAAGTTAAATTCAGAAGCCCATCTGACAATACAGACACAGTTGAAGGGCATGTGTTAAAAAGATAAATTGAGACAAGGTTACAAATATTTTAAACTTTTCAATTTAGGCATGAGAAGTCCCTAAACTGAGGATGGCCATTTTGCTTTTCCTTTGAGTGGCAGCACAAAACCTGAACAAATATATTATGCAGTATGTCGAAAGTTGAATATTTAGTGTATAGCAGTGTAAAAATGTTCTAAAGCCAATTAAAAAAAAAATTGAATAGAAGCCAAATAGAGACAAGTTGGAGGTAATTTGGTTTTGTTTGAGCTTTTCTACTGTGAGAGTCAGCCATTTTCCTATGCAAAGACAGCTGAGTCAGTCATAAGACTCTGATGCCTGTAGACAGGTGGTTTGGCCTGGAGGTAGAAATATATTTTTATTCAACTATACAGAGCAGATATTAAACTCTTGAATTCTATTAATATATGTGTGCAGCTTTACAGCCAGATTATCATACATTAAAAAATGTAATCATAAAAAGAAAATTCCATTTGAACAATTTTTAATTAAAAATATAAACCAACTGCTACCAATAAAGTAATGAACTATGAGGGTTATGCTTTTTAATTCCAGATCCTTGTAGAACAGCTATAGCGTGCTTCAATGTTAATATTAGCCCACATTTATAGGCTTCATTCCCATGAATACTGATTCAACCCATAAATTATAGATGCCACTGCAAACTTATAGCAAGAAAAGCTGTTTAGGTTTTTGTCTTATATTTGTTATCATATAAAGTTGTAACATGATAAGCATAAAATGGCAACCCTTGAGTAAGGAACATGAATTCCTGGCATTTAAGAATGAACAGCCTTGAGTTCACAAGCAGAAGGGGGAAAGGAAAAACAGCTATATAGGAGGAACGGTGAAGAAAGTTCGACAGAGACCGGATGCAACGTCATAGTGAAACTAGGCAGCGTCACGGGAGAGAGGAAAAGCACCATGTGGTATCCTCCAGAAACATATCTTTATTGCATTTTATCGTCCGAGCCATGTGATAATAGACAATTCTTGTTCAGTGGGAGGGAAGAAATGAGGCAAGGATAGGGAGGGAGAGAGCAAACCTGGTTCATAGACGGAGGATAGCAAACAAATTTTTTGGAAACACGGATAGAGGGATAGAGGATAACATTAGTTTGAGGAATAACTAAATCTGGTTGACTCTTGATAGGAAAGGTGTTAAAGAAATATAGCATGCAGGGTGTACATCAAACTGTTAAAATAAACTGCTATCAAGTATTCTCACATCTTTCACAATAATGTTTGTTCATCAGTTTGCTGTCTACCGTATTAACTGTGCACTTTTACTTTTTAAACTGGACACAGAGTGCAAGATACTACAGGATCAAGTATTTGATTTTTTCCTTTAAAATCCCTTAAATTAGTTATCCCTTTTCGGCCAACTCCCTCTGTAGAAGTTTCTGTCCAGAAGAACTACTTGAAAAACTTATGTGGCTAAATTGTAATGTTTTATGATGGGCAACTGTCAGATTTGAAGGATCCTGGTTGTCTCTAGGATTCAGACTGATAGAACCATGTGTACCAAGGACATCATCAGGTATGTCCTTGGTACAGAGATCCAGCTCTCATTTGATTTCCAGCTTAGCAGATGTTTCCAGTATGACAGTGCTATCAGCCATAATTTTTTACGGGTGGTTCAATACAGAAGATTAAGTCAGTGGGGATTAACATAAATGTCCAACTGCATGACTATAGTTATTATAAAAGGTATGTTTTTAAGAGGGCTGTTGAACCAAAAGGGTGGAAAATGGAGTGTGTTATTTCCTTTGTATTACACCAGGCCTCAGGCTAGGTTCACACCTAGGCGATTTATCGCACGTATTTAACCGCGTGATATCGCACAAAACAGGGATTTGCATTCAAGTCTATGGAAGCTGTTCACACCTTTGTGATTTGTCGTGCGGTAAAAATCGCCTGTCGCACAAAAAGGTGCAGGAGCGATTTTTGGGCGGTTGTCGCGCGGTTTTCAATGCATAGAGATATCTATGGAACCGCGTGGTTTGGGTTAGACATAGACATCTCTAAAGCAAAAGCATGCGGACAGAAATGCGCAACAACTGCACGAAAACAGCTCACCAGCTCAGTTGCTTAGGTGTGAACTTAGCCTCAACTGAAAGGGCTGGCATTAAAACATGATCATGGAACTTTTCTCTAACGCCTATTTAAAATATTTGATATCCCCTGCCTTTTAAACCTTTTTCTGTGAAAACCAATCAACTACAGCATGCATCAAAAAGTGCAAATTAATAAATATACATTATTTAGAAGTAGTTAGGCCTAGTTAATCTATTTTAATAGTACTATATTTTATTACACCTATATGTTGTGTACTCAACACGTAAACAGTCTATTACTTCTGTATTGTATAAACTAATGTTATACATCTTATGCATCTCAACTTTTTATAACTAACTATACAGTGCTAGAACTCTATACATTTAAGCAATAACTCAATGTACATAGGTCACAAATTGTAAAAGGAACACTAGTCCTATACATCACAATGGAAGTATATTTCTCTATATTTTTGTTAACATCATGAATAGTGCAATGGGTTTACATTTCGTTAAAGGATTACTATATGTGAAAGGATGACTATAGCTAAAACTGTCCATATTACTATATGAAATATACATTCACAAATATATTTGCATTGGCTTCTAAGCCTCCAAACAACAAATATGAAATTGGATGTGCTTTTACAATCACTATGCATTTCCTTGCTCTCAAAGCTGTAACACTTACGTAATCTTAAGACTTTGAAGTGCTTAGAAAATTAGGCCTTTACCTAATAAGGCAAAGAGCAATGAGAAAAGTGGCGTCACCCATAGCAACTAATCTGCAATCATTTGTCTACACTGACTACGCTACTCAGCTAAAAGCTGATTTATGATCCGCTGTGGGTTCCACTACATCATCGCTCTTTTCACCACGCTGTTAAAAAAAAGGCGTAAGAATGAATAAGTCAAACTGCCTCTGCTACAGAACAGTTTAGGCACTTGTCTAATTTGCTAAGTGTATAATCCTGTTATGCACACTTTGAAGGGTAGACTCTATAGCAGGCTATACAAACAGCTGTATATTGTGCTCACATCATTTGAACATTTCTTACACTGGTAAATAAATTCTAAGAATATACACGTTATTAAAGCTACGGGAACTCTACGGTGCAGTTATTGCAATTCTTTATCAGTGTTTTATGCACTTTCTCTTTCAATTTTCATTTCAGCCAAACTGACAAAATATGCTCATGATGAAGTCCAGAACCTTCATGTTTTTAGCAATCATAATGTGTCTAAAGTTTCTGTGAAGTTTTTCTTATTGAAATAAAAACTCAACCCCTAGTTTCATCTGCTAATATGTCCTATTTTACGTTGAACTTTACATTTGGCTTACTGGTTGTATCTACTAGCCATGTAACCCAGCGAGCAGATTCATGGTGGACTGACCTGGAGCAACACCTGTCTGTGTTTGATAACCATGTTTTTATAGTAAAGAATGGTTTAAACCCCCCATCAGTTTATTTATTGCTGTCTTTGTCTTTCTGTCACAGAAAGTGAGAAGAAATCTCTAAAAAAAAAAAATCAGGAGAATCCCCCACTTAGACAGTTTTCATCAGAAAAGTGATTACTTTTGTTATGCTATTGTTACTATGCATGATCATCCAATAAAAATTGTTTGGAAAAAAAGAAAAGGTGCCTCCATTTGAATATTTCTTTTTGCCAATTGTACCAAGTCTAAAATTTAGGATTTCCCATCACCTTCTGTCTCAGTGACAAGGACATCAGGACAATAGCGGCATGAATGTCCCTAGCACGGACATAGACAGTAATAAAAAAACTTGACAGGGGTTCTAATCTTTAGCCGCTCAATCCAAAACAAAATGTTTTGTCTCTACATGAACTTTAAACAATGATGTGTTTCTTATAGTAAAATGATGTATTGTTTGCATGTAACACATCTGAATGCCGGTATTTAATGACAACATTGATTTTGCTTGTTAATATTGTTTCGTCATAAGTCAAAGTATTGGATCTGTTATCCAGGACCCTGTTATTTAGAGAAGTTTTATAAATAGTAACTGTAAATAGCTGCTGTTTCTTTTTTATGAAAGGTCAACGCAAACTGACATGACCGTTCATATTCCAGTTATTGCAAGGAGCACTGGTAAAGACTGTGAACAAGAAACTATAGTGTAGTAACATTTACCTGAAAGTATTTTTTTAACATCATTTTCACATTTTTACGTGCTTGTTGCTGTATAGTTTGGTTACACTATTTTATATACAGATTTGTAAATGTTCCTTGTAGCGGTCACCTGCATAGCAGAGAATGTGATTGCTGTTCCCTGTGTAATAGCTGTCTGGGTAAGCTGAGTTAGCCTTAAAGAGAACCTATCGGTTAGATTTGACCCATAGACTTGCACTGAGAGACAAGAAACAGTGAAGCACCATCACTGTGTTGTAATACTAAGAGGGAAGCAGAGCCTGTACATGAAATAAGCAAATCTGGCTGCCCCGTGTACATAGATTGTTCACACTATTACAGAGTAATAAAGGTCTTAAAATACAGACACATATTGATAAAAAATGTTTTACATTACGCTGCCACTGATCACAAACATATGTATATTACACTTTAAAAAGACCACCGCTTCCTTTTAAAGAAGCACTTCATCCACAGCTATATTTTATTGTGGGTGAATGGTCATGGATACAGCTTGTGTGTAAAATTAGAATTGCCTCTACAGCTGCAGTGTAAAGATCCGTCTCTATGAAGTTCCTTCTACGCTGCTACAATCTGTTCTAGTTAAACACACGGATGAATTAGCATTCCTACCACCTGCTGACAGGAATGCTTGTTCATTTAGTATGTCATGAAGAGTCAGCTTTACCTGTCACAACACCTCTGTGAAAACAGAAAGCAATTCTCACAAAGGGAGACCGGCTTCAATACTGGAACATGTATCAAGAGTTGTATGATACATTACATGTGCTGATAAGTGTGTCTCCGTTGTCATGGCTCACTGACGGTCACCAGTAGAAGCCCTGTATAGTGAAACTGTGGGTCATTCAACCTGCCAGTTTAATACATGAAAGCCACAATGGAAATCTTAAATCCCCTAACACCAAAATGTGCCATGCAATGTGCTGGATCTTCACATCAGGAATGCAAAAGTAAATATAATCTTCCATAGATGCTGTCCCCATTACCTTCCACCCAAAAGTCTTTTTCCTCTTTATAGTAATATAAAGAGCAATGAATGGACACAAGGGTCCTTTAAATTGTGTGAGGCAACCCACACTATGAAACACTCACACACTGAGGACCACAGATCCAATACCAACCCTTATCACAAACCTTACAATCTGTAATTTATATTTCAGATATCTTTTCTTTATATCCTTTTTCTAGAAAAGCATTGTTGTCCTTACTAGTATCCTCTCTATCTTGTATGTGAATGATCTGTTGTTAAAATCTTATACATTCCTGTGTCATACAAAAATACTAGCCAAAAGATTCATTGTACGGCTGTTGCATGACCCACCGGTGCTGAAATTATACAGTCTTGGAAATTAACATTTGTTCCTCTCTAGATAAGTATTTTGTAGTAGCAAACGCAAGCAAAAGCCATCACAGGTAGTCTAACCCTATTGCAGCGTACTGCAGCCAGCCAGTCAGTTTATTATCTGACCTGATCCTCAGTGTTGCACACACAGGCCTGTATATTCTCAGTATATTCTAATTATTATATGTGATATTATTTTACTCTAAATGCATAACCAAGATAGAAGTTTGTAAAGGGTAGTCAATTATCTCTGATATTGTTAGGACTCCTGTTTCTCTGATAACCATCCCCTGTTAATAAGTCCTTAGTATGATACTGAGAGACATGCTATAATATTGGCCTCTCTAACTCACAGTATAGACAAACTATTTAAATGATTATATACTTTGTAATAGTGTAGTAACTAGTTTCCCATTTGCTGCTTCCCTCTCCCGTGTCGTTTTCACAGGCTGACAGGTTTAATCTCACCAGCTACTTAACTGTAACACTTTCCTTTCATCTTTCTCTGTATAAGATAAAAGAAGAAGCAGACTGGGAAAAGGGAGTGTAGGTGGATTCGAGTAGCTTAATAAGTTTGGCTGTACTGGCCTGCATACCCGTTAGCATATTTCTCGTAGTACTCAGCGGGACTGTAACCTGCTGCTCCCAAGCTATACTGAGAGAAAGCAGAGGCGTAGGCTTGGCTGTAACTCTGGCTGTAGGCTTGAGATGCTCCATATGGATCAGCATATTGTGCCATAACTGCTGCTGCTGTCCTCCTGCCAACAGGACTTCTGTCCCTGTATGCTGCGGGAGCCAAGGCTGCGCTGATAGATGTTGGAGCTGTTGGAGCAGCAGCTACGGGAGCAGTTGGAAGGGTTGCAGCAGCTGCAGCTACTACTGGAGCAAGGGCTCTGTCGTATGCTGCCCGAGCTCCAAGCCCACTTCTGTCGTAGATATCATACGTGTATCTCTCATAGTACTCCCTCTCGTACCAGCAGCGAGGTGAAAACGCTGAGAAAGAAGCTGGAGGTGGCGGCAGGCGTCCACGATGAAAGTAGTAAGCTGGTGGTGGTGGAGGAGGAGGTGGAGGTGCTGTTGGAACTGCAATAACAGCTGAAGATGCTAACTTGGAGCTCTTTGGGGCGTTGTTGCTCTTGGACAGAGTAACAAAGATCTTCTGGTCCTCCAGAGGAGTATCATTAAGGTGCAAAATCGCATCCATGGCTTCTCTTTCCTTGGCCATGTGTACAAAAGCATAATTCTTTACTATATCACATTCTACAACTTTGCCAAACTTCTCAAATAACTCCTTGATTTGGGATGTTGTCGCCCTGCTTGAGACATTGCCCACGTATATTTTGGTGGCATTGCGAATCTTTGACGTTGCATATTCCACAGTAAGATGGGAGCCATAGAACTCCTGTTTGTGCAACTCTCCAATGGCACGGTGAGCGTCCTGCTCTCTTTCCATGTGGACAAAGGCATAGTTTTTGAGAATGTCACATTCATTCACCTGACCATACCTCTCAAAGAGCTTCTTTAACTCTTCAGGGGATGCAGATGGGGAGACACCGCCAACAAAAATCTTCACCATGGCTTGGGGATAGTGTGTGAAAATATCCAAATGCTTGGTCCCCCTTCTAGTTCAAAACAAAACAAAATGATTAGGCAATTTTATGCAATTCAGATGTTCTGCAGTAAAATTAATACATTTCATGTTCATTTCAAGGGTTCATGTCAGCAGACATTTCTGTGCATTTGAGGTGCATTCACAGGTCAGCAAAATCCCATTGACTTTACAGTCACAGTTACAGTTTACTTGAGCAGTACACATGGAAGTTCAGAGGCTGCATATGAACTGCTTTGCATTGCGCTCAGGCCCAGATTCCCCACAAAGCCACAGAGGCCAGGCATTGGGGCGGCAGCGGTGTGGAATCCCCCGAATTGGTTCCGTCCTCCCCCCGACCGCCGAGTCTCTCCTCACTGGCCGCCAATGTGGGGAGCAGAGCGGCAGGGTTAAAACTAACCCTGCTGCTCTGTGTAGACAGTGAGAGGGGAGAGCAGTGCTCTTCCTCTCTCTGCTGTCACAGGAGTTCCAGAAGTTCGCATTGCAGAACCTGGCCTTGGGGCAGCAGGGAGAGTAAATCCAGCCCTGATTGCGCTATGTTTCTTTGGTGGCAGAATGTCCTATTCATTTGTGCAATTAAGACAGAAAAAAAAAATTATGCAGACATTATTATGAGTATGAGCGGATAATAATGTCTGCATCACATTTTGTTTTATTGTGTTTGAACATGTGATGTTTGTTTGAATTTTGGGGGGAATGACATCATGAACTGTTCTAATTGCACTTGGATTAGTATGTATTTATACCTGCATGTTTATCGATGTACCTTGTCACTATGTCGCTTTAAAGAAGGATCCCTGCGTGGACCCGAAACGTCAGCACCTTATGACGCTATGTGACACTGCACTTTATTTAATAAATTGGAATTTTAATACTGGATTCCCTGAGTGTGTGACGGTGAAACGCATGAATCTACTATGCATGTGTTCCAGAGCAGGAAAAATTGGTCTTGCTGCAGTTTTTCTACATGCTCTGGAACTGAACTAGAGCCCAAAATACAATTGGAATACATTGGACGCAGGTTTGATGTGTTCTGTAACTGCTCTGCATCTGCTCTGCACTTGGTGTGAACAAGTCCTTAGAGCAGAAAAATGCACACCACAGCGCTCAGCAGACTCCCAATGATATTCTCCACCAACAATCATTTGCAGGCTGCCGTCATCAAAAAGGCCACTGGGAAGTATTCCTCGCAAAACAAACAGACAGACAGTGTCTTGTCCTCGTGAAATACAGTTTATTAATCAATGAACATACAAGCTGACATAAAATACTACTCGCATGGTAATCACTGAATACCACCTTCCTCAGGGCTCTGAGGAAGGGGGTATATTCCCCGAAACGCGTCAGCTAGCAAGGCAGCTTTGTGTGGGGTCTGCCTTGTACCATTCATTCAGTGATTACCATGTGAGTAGTATTTTATGTCAGCTTGTATGTTCATTGAAGCCCTTAGAGCAGCAGGTGCCGGTTGTCAGAATACAAGAGCTGGCAGTGGGGATTCGTCCATCTACGCTGTTTAGCGTGGATGAGGGAATTGAATATTTTCTCTCATTCCGCTCGACTAAATGAGACAAACGTTTATGTGTATGGCAAGCTTTATATACACTGAGAGCACAGCATATGGATATTTTGGACATGCTCCTTTGTTTGGCTCATGTGCCTTTCATGCCTTATGTGATGTTTCTCACATTATAAGTTGAGTGTTTTTTAATATAGTATGCAAACAAAATATCACAAAAAACAGCTTTGTTTGGATGTTCAAGCATCCTGCAGATGCAGACACCAACATATGCATTGAACATGTGACTGTACACTTTTGAGATTGCAAATCACTGTGCTTTGGAGTGTTGTATCTCTGCTGTTGGGCATTTTCTTTTAGTAAATCAGGCCTCGAGAGTCTCACGTTCAGTCCTTGTGACCTGATTGATAAAATTGCAGGGAGAGGGAGAGTAAAGCCGGCCATACAACACTAGAATTTTGAAACATTTTTTCGGAACGTTCATGCTGTTTTCTTATAGTTTATGGGGTTAAATCAGCCATTGATTTTGACTGTAGTAACAAAAAAAAAGAACCGGATGGAAAAAAAAAATTTGAATAAAGGAAATTCTAACAGTGAATTTGGTTTTCCTTTAAGAAACTCCATTCATTCCAAAATCGAATGTTAAAATCAAACAGAATTTCAAAGGACATTCTATAAGTTTCTCAAGACATTATCAAATACTCTGAGATTTTGCGTGTGAAAGTACATTTGAAAATCTATCCATGTTTACCCGGCTTTAGGCTGGACTCTCACTTTAGTAGTGCAATGCCATATGCACATAGAGGGGAATGTATCAAAATTGGAGCAGACAAAATCTGGGTAGTTGCCCATGGCATCCAATCAGCTTCTACCTTTTGTTTTCAAAGCTTAGCTGAACAAACTAAAGAGAGAAGCTGATTGGTTGCTTGCACAACTGCTTCAGATTCCGCCTGCTCTAGTTTTGATAAACCCCCCCCCCCATTATGTTGCACATTATCGTGGCTTGTGGTAAGGCAACGTTATTAATTTTAAATGAAGTCTTTTTGCACAGCAACGCTGGTTTTATCTGACCTGCACCTGCAAGACAGTGCGCAGATGGTTCACATCTGTGCATTGTGGTGTGTTAAAAGGCAAGCCCATTGTAGTGCATTGGGGGATGTGCTTGGGGTGACATTCCAAATGAATGTTAATGCGCCATGGTTTGTGCATTGGTGCACTGTGCTAACATACGGTAAAACACGTTTTTCTGCCATAGAAATATGTGACTCTGGCCTAACCGTAATCAAAAACATTGTATTCCCAATAAAAAGAAAATGTGAGAAAAAAATAACATGCAGTCCTACTAAGCAGTCTGCAAATGCTATAGGTGCACCCAGGAACACTTCTAATGATAAGTTATACATGGACACAAAGTTTGAAAACATTACCACATACAATGATAGATGATACACACACCATACCCAATTCATTGTACATACCATGTACACTCGGATAATCACCAACCAATTCTACATTTCTCAAGCAGCTGTACAATACACAGATAAAATGCACTGAGAACCAAGAAACACCAGCGCTAATACACCATAAAAAGCGTGCATCTGTACACACCTCACCATAAGCCATAAATATTATACAAAATGATACTCTATCCAAACTTGTATCGATTGCTCCACCCTAACTATGATCAAACTAAAAAAGTGTCTAGCAATACATACATATACAGAGTATATATATCTATATATATCTAGAGATATATATAGATATATATAGATATATAGATATATATCAAACTTAAAGAAC